CATAGCACTGGAGACTTGGCTGAACAGTGCAACACAGAATGACTGGTTCAAGCATTAGATGAAACTTTACCCAACAAAGACAGCAAGGGATCCCAATCAGACCTGAGGCAAGCTGCAGCCATGTTTTTAAACATGAAATTAATTGGTACAATTAAGAACAGGTAAGATAATGCAGTATTCTCCAATGAAATCCTAATTAAACATATTATTCAATTGAGCATTTTATTTAAATCCAGTTGTGATTTTGAAGGGGAATGCAATGCAGGAAGCCTGTGTTAATATATCCAATGTTCCCATCGTTTGTACATTTTAATTGTTATTCTATTATGTTTGAGTTTGTTTCCTAAATTTATGCAGTATTTTACATATGCACTTTGTGCATTTTGGCCAAGGATCAGTTTGATCACAAGGTTGGATAATAAATTCCAAATAAGGGCAAGTTTCACTTCAAATCCTGGCAAAATGAAAATGATCAAATCAGGGGTAATAAGTGACTGCATGTTTTTAAAAGTATAACAGACTTTAAATTTTATTCCTCACTATTTTGAAGAAATGTCACCTCTCCCTTCACCCACCCTAGGGCAGACTTCCAATAAGCGCTCTGAGACATCATCTCAACGTGAAAGGCACTATGTAAATGTTTTGCATACAACTTTTCGCAAAGATCCAATGAACTTCAATGTCAAGTGTAGAAGTGGGTGACAATCAAGGCTAATGCAAGAGTACTGCCTTTTGATGAGGGCTTGGAAAGATAAAACTGAGTGTTGTGGTAGATTCTAGTCGCTTGACATTTTAAGCAAATTATTTTAATGGTGCATTTCTTACCTGTATACGACTTCATATGGGTCCTAAAGTGGCTGGGCTGGTTAAACACTTTTACACATTCTTTGCATGGAAACTCCGTGTGTTTGCCTTGTGTTTTCCCCAAACCTAGGCATGCATATATTGCGAACTGATGTTCCGTTAGCAGCCACAGCAGAAGAAAGTAAGCAAGATCAGACAGAAAGCCAAGCATATTTACTGCTGTGTATATTCTCAACGTAAAAGCCTCAAAGTGAACTCCCTGTGTTATTTAATTTATGAAGCAGCTTGTATGGCCCCTGAGTATCAAAGGTCTATTCTACTTCATGACTGCTATGCGAGTTCATATTTTGGTGCAACAATCAAACATTTTAGATTAGTCCCTGTGATACAATCTGAGCTGCTTTCATACAATGTGATATTTGATCTCATTTTTAAACCTACACCAGCAGTAGCAGAGCCATCTGTACATATGCATTGGTCCCACTCTCTACCCCAGTGCTTTGAATCTGCATGCACTTTGACCTAAAATGACAATAGCCTCACTGTAGCAAACCAGCATAGTTAAGAAGCACCCAAATCAAATAACGCCTGATTATATTAATGAGTTTCATGTACAAGATCCTTTACATCATCACTTAATCTGCCAGAGTACCCAATCAAGCAGTAATGGATTTAGATGCTACAGGCACTGTCCATAATAAAATAATTTATACACAGCCAAAAGCAAGAACAGAGTAAGGGCAACTGGATTTTTTCTGCCCTATAATCAAGATGTCAGAAATAAAGAGCTGAATATTATCAACGAATGTACAGATACAGTTAAAGTTTGCACAGTGTATGCAGCATTAATTCTAATTTAGAGGGAATAATATTTAATGGGAAGAGTTGATACTGAACTGCATAGTCCATGTTCTCTCTATTTGAAAGGTTGAGTAGTGAGCACAGTTTTAAAATGAAACTTGACTATTGGAAACTAGGAAGAATATCACAAGTTCTAACATTCCTTATCTTTCTAAGGTGTATTCAAACCGTGCAAGATCACACAAGTGGTCATGTGTTAGTGACACAAAGATTAACTGTTAATGTGTTCACTATCTTTTTTTCATTTCTGGGATTCATGGATGTATCTTAAATAAAAAGCACATTATCTTTAATTCACATTACAACCATAGTCTGACACATACTCAAAAAAGGTTAGAATCACCACATGAGCAGCTCTTTGTTGCTGGAATATATATTCCTCAATATACAAGATATTCCTGCCAGATAAATGAAACACAAAATTACTGAAGGTTTCTGAAATATCTTTGATGTTTCCCTGACAGGTGCACATTTTGAAATGATAAACTACTGTGTTCCAATGTACTAATTTTAGTATAAGGACCAAAAAGAAACCCACGTTTTGCCAGTGTAAACCCTTGATATTATTATTTTTCTGGGGACTATACATTGAAAGTGTTTTGTGTAGTAAGAGGTGGATTATTAAAGAAAATGGTGTATGGCGAGTATTTCACAAGATGTTTCTGTTAGTGAGAAAACTGTAAAAAAAAGGTAAACTGCTGCACATGAAAAGTTGTAAATGAATTAGTAAAAAGGTAAAACATTTATCCATTAATGTAAAATAAAGCTTCTGGTCTATTATTATTTAATTTATGGATCAGTCAAATGTTCTAATACAACAGCCACACTGTAACACTACATTTAAGATTAAAAGCACATTTCTTTACTGCATGATGCTTTATTTATGTTGTCTGATAACTGGGAAGCTAAAACAGTGAATGTTATATATGAGGTAACAGTAAAACTAGGAGTCTTAAAAAGGGGTCTACTTATTTCTGTAACACCCTTGTATACATAACATGAAACCGTACTGCCACAATGGGTTCTATTGTATGTCAACTGATCGTTAAAAATATTTTCATTTGCCCGTTCACAATAAAATCTTGATCAGGTAATGTGCTTTGACCACCACATACTGTCCACTAACCTCCAAATTCACACACCAACAAACTCGCACAGTTCAGCAAATGTGCGTGGCCACGTGCCATCTGGACACAAGAAAATAAATCGCGTTTCCTCTATATATTAAGGGGTAAAATTGGTAGCGTTTCATGATGTTTCAATATGATAAGTTCTCCCATCAATTATTTCATGAAATGCTACAAATTTCAACCCATATAAAACAGGATGCTCACAAGGGCGTAAAAAGTCTGTAAAATTCCACCAAAGTTTCAGCTTAAAAACTGCTTGCGTTTCCCATACACCAATTAGATCACCTGAAGCTCTCAGTTCTATTACAGTTGAGTATTTATTTTTCTATGAGACACTAACAAATATACATTAATTACAGTACAAAGCCCTTGTGCTACTTATTTTCCCAGATATCCCCTTTCCCCACATGGGCCTGATTTTGTGCATCATCCTCCTCCTGCTACAACTAGGGTAGAGCAATCTGGGCCACAGGCATCTCCATGATTTTTACTGGTGTCTTCACCTTTTTGACTGCCAAGACGTTCACCTATTATAGAGTGGTGCAAAGCAAGTTGCTTTTCGAGTTCCTCAGGTGGAAGATTACGATGAGCCTTATACATATGCGATAACAAAATCTCACCCCTAGGACTAATGGATTAGAATTACATGCAAGCATCCCACTCAAACTTTAGACTATCTGGTTAGGAGGGAATAGCCTAACTACCAGAAAGTCCCTTGCACACCACTTTCCAAATGTTATTCTTCTCAAAAACAGCCTTTGCGTAAATGAGCTACTGCCAGTAAATTTAACTGGAGCACATGTTGGGTGCTCAGGTCCCTGCATATCACATTGGACATCTCCTATAGATGTGAACATACAGCAAATTATGGATGGCTGGGCAGCTGAAGGACACAAACAGAGATTAAGTCTATCGATCATTCTGTCTATCGGTGTTGGATAGAATAGCGCATGTCAAGCTCAGAACCTTTATTGCAGTTTGATTCCTCTGAAACTGGTTCTGCCAACTGCTCACCAAACTCTTAACACTTCCACTTCCTTTCCCACGATCAAATGAAATAGGACTCCATCATGCTAAAGGTATGAACTCTACCCAATCAGAAATTTGGGAAGTCTCTCAGTATCAACTTTATATCAGGTGAGACAAAAACAGAAGTAGCTGGGAACTTCTGTTTTTGGGAAGTCGCTTCCCAGCAACTTGTTTTTGTTTCTGATTTCCAGCATCTGCAGTATTTTGCATTTTGTTTATATCAGGTGAAGTTCATTTCACTGCTGTGTCTAATTGCAGAGTGTGTGTATCAGTGTGCGGTGGGGCAGAAGTGTTGAAATAATAAATAACTTCACTTTACAAAGTGAATGTTTTCTTCCTGAAAACTGCCAGCTGGGCTTATGAGAAAGACACTCCCAAGGAGCCTAGATGCTCACTCTCAAAACTGCTTTGATCTCAGGTACATACATAAATAATTAGAAAATAAAAGCCTCCAAAAGATGCACAAATGTTTTCCTTTATCCTTTTGTTTGCAAGTCTTCTTCTAGGGCATCGGACTCTATATATGATGCAAAACAAAGGTCAGAGGTCTGCTGTGCTAATTGACCGATACTAATGCTGAACTCACACTGCTCAAGGTGTTGCCTTTACTGAAACCAAACCTGCAAGAGGAAAACAGGAATCATAGCTTCAGGCACACTAAACAGCTTCATGGGTGAAATATTTCTCATGCCACCAAGTGTAACGACTTTAAAGGTGTGCATTAACACAGACTGAAGGTTCTTTTAGCACATGTCTCACCCCTAGAATCCTGACCAAGATTCTGACCCTATAACATTTCCTAGTTTTCTATTTTTCCAGTGGTGGTACTGAACCTGAATTTATGTCTACAAGTAAAATATGTCCCTAGTTTATTACATCTTTCACAAATAACTTCCACGACACTTTAAGCCTCCCACATTATTCTCAAACTACAAAAAACATCTTAAGCGTTCATATTTTTTGCTATCAATATTTATAACCACTGATCTGAGAATATTGCTGCAGTTTGATATGAACACCTGAAAAAACAGAACAATCGACAAATTAGCAACATATAGAGTACAATAGGTTTCGTAAATTTTACTTTGCAATCCCTCAAAGCTAAGGCTTCTAGAAGGTATCGGATTGGGCAACATCTTCATTGCATTTCAAAAGTTGGATTCATTTGACACCCACCTGACAAGTCTGACCTCTTAACACTGTTGCTACTGCTGTTGCTGCTGCTGCTGCTGTTGCTGCTGCTGCTGCTGTTGCTTGAGCTATTTCCCATACCATTGAAAGCTGCCATGCTGTCTGTGCTGTAGGCTCTCAGAGCAGAGAGCATATTCATCTGCTGGTCGAGGAGTTGATGGCTGTGGACTTGCTCCTTATTGACCACCCCCTGTGGAATATCTTGAGATGGCAGAAGATTTAAACCCTGCCACGGGCCACCTTGAGGCTTAGCGACACAGGTTAGAAGTCCTTGTGATCCTTTCGAGACAGCTGCACTGGGAATTGGATCTTCGCCATCAGAACTTTCTTCATCAGAGGTTAATGGCTGTTTTATGTCCTCTAATATATCTGGATCATTTACATCTTGATCATCCGCAGACCCCGTGTCACCACTACATGGTTTATTAGCCACTTCGCCAGAAGGACTCATGCTTTGAGCCCCTGGTGAAACAAGATTCATGGTGCTTGCAGGTCGGCATTTCAGTTCAGATTCATGAGTGGTTAAACTGGGTGTTCCTGGACCACTGATGTTTGAATACGTGTTGAATTGCTTGTAAAAATCTGTAACTAGAGAACTCAGGTTAGTCTCCATAGGACTAGCAAAGGACTTCTTATGATCTCCCAATGAGTCACTGGTTTGTCCTTGTTCAGCTATTTTGTCAGAAGATGACTCTGCCTTGTCCAGTGATTTTGCACCGATCTGATCTTTCTTCATGAGAACAGGAGAGACTGGCAAACAGGTTTTCTTTGCAAAAGGTGAAGATTCCCCTTGAAGATCATTGCCGTTTCCTGCCAGTCCTAAAAGGTTTTCTTTTCGTTTCGTCTTCCCTAGGTGGTTGGCTTGAAGGTGAAGAACCATTAATTCCATCGATGAAGTTGTGAAGGAACAGAACAGGCATCCATGCCAAGTGACGTTATCCTGGATGGTCATGGATGAACCTGGAAGTGGGGCAGAATCATAGGATGGAGGTTTGACAGACAAATCCAATGGTTCATACTGGGATTTTTCTGCAATTGATCTTGATTTACCTCCTGACTTTTTTTCAGATGCCTGAACTTCAGACCTTCTTTCACAGTCTTCATAGTCTAATTTCTTGCTGTTTTTTTCAAGTGTTGCTTTTGAGTTAGGCAGTTTTCCACTTATGGTTTCGCTTGGGATTCTTTCGTTTACCTCCTTTTCTTTTTCCAAGGATTTCAGTCCATAAGTGTCAATGAAAGCTTGCAAAGACCCTTGGAAATTGACGCCATTCCCAGCCAGGCTCTGGAATGCTCTGCTCAGATCAGAAAGACTTGGAGTGTCTTCCCCAGAAGCCTCTGATGCACTTTTCAGACTCTCAGCTTGCTGCTCGGATGTCACAGCAGCCCCGTGTCCATGGCATTCCGCTGGGGAATGGACTCCCATTGACCACTGTTGAGGAATCAAGCCACTTCTGAGGTCCGTCCCTGGCATACTTTTCATCACTCCTCTCAGTATGTCTGGCCTAATAAATATCTGGCTTTTATTGATAGGCTCTTCAAGATTCTCTTGGTGGCTGTGCCCCTGTCCCAACAAAGGACTTGTTCCATTCTGACGCTCCCTATGGTGGCGTTCCAAGTGATATTTCAGAGATGCTGACTGAGTTCCAGCGTAGTCACAGTGTGGGCATTTGTATGGTTTCTCACCTACACCAGCAAACAATGGAAAGAAAGTTGTGAGCTTCAGTTTGTTCACACAGATAATAATAATAATAATCCTTGCATTTGATATAGCGCTTTTCACGTCGGGAGGACATCCCAAAGCGCTTCACAGAACACACTGTAAAGTGAATTGACTGCATATTTGTGGGCGAACGCGGCAGCCAATTGCGCACAGCAATGTCCCACAAACAGTCGTAGATTGAAAATGACCAATTTATTATTGTTTTTTTTTGGAGGGATTATTATTAGGCATGTGGAGTAAGGAAACTTGCCCAAGGTTTCGCCCTGCCTGGAATTGAACTCAGGTCTCTCGCTTGCAAAGCGAGTGCTCTAACCACTGAGCTACAGGACTCCACGTTGTTCCATAGAACAAAAAAAATGACAAACTAGTTCTTTTACTATTAAAGATGGTCATGTTACACGAGGAAACAAAGGTTTTTTTTGCATAAAAGCTGACTTTGTACATACCAAATCATCTCAAAACATAAAACTTAGCAACATTCTGTACAAAACTGAAATGAATGATTTAAGACCTAGTGTGCAGTAAATCATGGATATAATTAGCAAATGGTGTACTGCACAAGTAATTCATCACCATTTGTGAGGCAACATTCTAGAATAAATTTTAAAATTTGCAGAAAGTAGAATTGGTTCAAAGAAAATGTACACTTAGTGAGCAGTATAAATAAAACATGTTTTTTTTGGATTAAAAAACACGTTGCCAACACAGTTAGCCATTGGAAATGTGTATTGGTTTTAATCAAAATATGCAGCATTGCATTTGCAGTGGCTGAAAAACATTCAGATGAGATAGAAGAGAAAGCATATAATGAGATGTTCATGTTCCAAGAATTCTTAGGATGAATTACAAGATCTTATAAGTTGCTTGTTATATGCATATATTTCCATAATGGGCCATGGTTTTTAAAGAACCTAGATTCTACTCTTGAGCAACTGTGATGAGTGTGTGTTATTTGTCTGCGTTCATCTTTTTTAGTATCATCATTTTCCTGCACTTTGCTTTTTCAGAAGATGTGCTACTTTAAAAGGTTATATTCTTTGAACAAAAATGGAGTGAAATAATCCTGTTATTCTGCATATAATATCAATATTCTCTGGCCATGTTTGAATAACGCACTCACCACTGGAAAGGCAAATCACTGTCCTGGGAAAGGCCAGTTCCTGTTTTTCATTGGTGCTTAAACACATCCAATCCCACAGAGCAAATCGCTGCCATTCATCTGATCAGATCATAGAAGCAACGACTGTATTCCTTCCAAAGTCTCCAAGCCAAATAGCCCAGAGTCCAAAAGCATTGCTTATAACCTAGTATTAATTCATGCCCTATGCTGCTTTCACTGTGACTAGGACATTGGGTTAATTTGGCCACATATGCATTAGGCACCTGATAATCCCTGGTTGCCATTCTCTCAAAGTACGAATACATCAAGTTCAAGCCAGATAAAATATTCTGTATCCGTGCAGGGTGACAGTGCTAAGTACTATAACTGGCATTCACAGCATGCCAGATTCAGTCTCATCTCTTGCACAAGTCAGGGTCACGCCACACAGCAAAACGACCTTGTGCTACTTATTTTTTTAAATGCCTTTTTTATTGGTAATGAATGAAGCATACACAAAAATGCTTTATTCATGATTAACAAAGAGAACATTGAATAAGTTATTCAATGGGTGGCACACAATTTCCATTATGCAACCTTGGATTAATATCTGCATATATCGCGTGGGATACCTGTAGGTTATTAATCTTCTAGCAGGTAGCAGTAAAAAGTATGATTGCTGAATGGTATATAGTTGTGTGACATATTTAAGAACGTATATTCTAAAATTGTCATGACAACTGCCATGACATTTCTGCATTACAAAAAAGTTTGAATCGTATTGAGAAAAATAAAAAATTTAAGGAACAATGTGAAACTTGCTTTTGTTTTCAAAGCCTCATGTTATGAGATGTCAAGAAAAAACTGCCATCTGAAGCAGTTAATCCCTATTGAAATACAGTATTTTATTTCTGTGTCACATTTTTCACTGAATTTACATCCTCAAACACACAATATTAAAAATGGCACCTGGTACAATGAAAAATATCATGCTTGGTCAAGGATCACACAACAGAACTATGTGACCTCATTTGAGCATTGCAACCAAGAGTGGAATTACATTCTGAACGAGTATTAAAAATATTGTGATTTATTCCAGTTATTTTAAATGTTATGCTCAGTAAATGTTACAGTTTTCCATAATGCAGAGTGAATTGTTTTTTCGGTATAAAATCTACGTTTCTAAATCAGTCCCTCTGCTTTACAATATGTTTTTGAACAAAGATTACCCATTACCGGAACTGCTCATATGTGATAAATGGATTGATTTTATTCATAACAAAATAACCTTTATCTTCAAACTACGAGGTATGCTTTTTGATCCAGGAAATATTTAATAAAGCACAAACCCCTTTGTTATAATTTTATATTAATGTGTATACATTACCCATCATCTGATAATTAAGCACTAATACTTTAAAATGCTGAGTTTTATTCACTTAGAAAGGGTGAAATAAATATTCTTCACAGCAAAGCTAGAGTGCATTAATATAAATTGTCCACATGATTCCCCTAAGCTTATATGCTGTAAATATGAAGACTATTGCACAGCTGCTTATTGCTAAACAGTGCCTTGTCTAGAAGGGGACAATCTGTGTTTCTAATTGCTGTCATTGAAGCCTAGATTCATTTTGTGACTTTCCCATTAATATGTGAGCATTAATTTGTATAATGAAATATCACCCACTGCGGTATTCATTAGCCATGCCCTACTGTATACTTCACATTGTTAGCTAGCCAGAAACTGTAGCTAATTTCGCTAATGGACATCTTCCTACTAAATCTTTGGTAGGAAATTAATATGGTAACATTACCTCTTTAACTTTTTGGGAATTTAAATTCTGTTAATTCCTTTCTGCCAGATTTGCTGGAAGCAATTAATCTGGAGTTAAATTCTGTCATGACCATATTTACTGGATGGGCTGGTAGTACAGGCAGTAAAATTCCTGCCTCCTGACCAGATGGTCAAAGGCTTAAGTATCAGTCACCTGAGCTCAAGGTTTGCCAATTCTTGGGGTGGAGTGCGTCATTGTAATCAGTATCCTATACTGTCATGGGATACCCTAGCTCTGGTGCAGGAAAATTAGTATAGTTGTCTCCTACTGAAAGCACATCTCTTGCTTATCAAACCTATAACAGCATTGCTCATGATGGTAAAGAGCTAAGTAATGCTACTTTTTCTGCCTTCCCAACCAGAAGTGTACTATATAGTTTTATGCAGCTCTTAGCACGATTTGGAAGGAAATAGGATTGAGAAAGAAAAAAAATGTGGATCAATGCATGTATTCTTCATGTACGTCGTATGGGGGTGGGGCATAGCACTGTGATTAATTAGGTACTAGTTACATGGAGAATGCTCCAATCATCTAGATGTAATTTTGCATTTAGTTACCAAGTTTCTGTTGACTGTTTTCTGTGAACAAGCTTCTCTCTGTCCCTTTATTCCATAAGCGTTCAATACATCCCAAAGTGCTACTTCTCATTTGGTCCCTTTTAACCCTTGCTTCCTGCTTTATTAGAACATGCTAGCTGGTCCCAAACTATTTATTTTATTGTATTCATTCAAAACAATCCTTGAAGGCAAACTGTTCTCTTTTTGCTCATGAATAAAGTTTTGCGCTTTGCAAACATGTTTGGCTCAAAACATATGGAATAAAAATCTGGATGAACCTTATTTCCCAATGTGCTTTTTAAGCCAATATCTGTACACAGCATTGTGTAACCAGGAGGGAATACAACAGATAAACAGAGCAATGTATTATTTTTCCAAGTCGCTTCAGCAATTCTGACATTTTATCGCAATTTTATTCAAAACTAGTTATCTGACAGTCATCTGTCACTAACCGTTAAATGAACTAGTCATACGTTGTTAACTACTGGTAGAAAGTTCTTTGATTATCGCAAATATAAGTCCACATTATAGAATTCAATTGGAATGTGTTCTCAATAATAAACAATGGAGGCTTCATCTGGTTAAAAAAAAGTCCAGAGCTTATGTGAGTGTATTAAAGAAGATCAGTTCCATGGGCAGAGTACTGACAGTGTGAAGTACTTACCTCCTTATATATTCCCATAGCTTTCATGTTTAATACGTTTCCACTGTTACAAAGTAATGCTTAGAGGAGGGATACTCCAGAAATGCTCAAAGCAGATACGTTGAACTGAAGTCAGGTGGTGGTAGGGAATGAGGAGATCCTGTGTTCACAGTAAAACAGCTGGAACTACACAGGAAAAATAAGGATAGTTCCTCACCAGCATATCATAACCGACCATAACCATGGCAGTAACCTTGGTTAGAGATATGCTCTGTGAAGACATTCTGTGAGGAAACTGCTTTACTTCCAGGTGAATTAAAAGTTATCTTATGTTAAATTTCCTGGCTGCTATGAAGATGCATTTCTAAGTTATATGCTAATATAATACCCAGGGTTATTTGAAAACATTAGCAATGAATTAAACGTGAATGTTGTTAATCATATAAGTGGGGGGAAAATATTTCATACTAACAATAAAACCCCAAATATTTTTAACCCTTAGAGAACAAGACGGGGCTGAAATTGACCTTAGAGTCTTGACCTAGGAATAGGAAGATTGAATTCCTGCTCCTGACAGCTATCCAATAATTCCTGCTGCAATAAATGTGTTTTGGATTGTTGCGGAGCAGGAATGGTAGAGAGAGTTGGCTTGGCTGTGATGCCCTCCAGAGTTTTATAGCCTGCCACACTGCCTAGGTTCACACATAAAGAATAGCCACTTGGTACAGCCCAAAGAAAATATACCCAATCATAGCATTCTCTCTCAACATCGTCCTCAAAGGCATATTTAATGTGCTGTTCACCGGTGATCAGTGCACTTTCTGTCCTAATGTTATCATTGCTATTTAATTCAAAGGTAGGCAACCTTGACATCTGAAGAGATGATCAATGTTGATGTTACCAATTTTTCACAATCTTTTGCTTCATTGTTTATTCTAGTGGAATGCTTAACCCACACTACAACCTTAAACCCATTGTTGTCTAGATGCAAATTAGGCAAGAAATGATAAGGTATTGCTTGGTTCACTTTACTGTGTCATTGCCAACTACAGTTTGGACCAGTTATCACATAAGAGCAAACAAGACAGAAGGCTCAAGGTCTTCGAGATCCAACTAAAAAGGCATCTTTCTCCAATAACTCAGGAGAACATGTCACTCCCCATGTTATAAACACAGCCAGTGGAAGCAGAGGAAATTGTGTGGTGTTCCTTCATACAATCAATATGAATATATCTCTTCAGATCTTTCTATTCCTTTTGTCAAATTGAAATTGATCTTAAAAGTACAGTACTCCACTCTGCTAAACATCTTCTAATACTGAACTAAAACAGCCAATATAAACCCAAATAATTTGACGAGGAATGAGAGATTTTTAAGGATTGAACAATTTGTCTTTGTGAAAAGTGACTGAATTATTTTCAAGGGCAAATCATTGACTAACAAGCCTCTTAATCTCACTGAAACATAAATTTGCTCCTCAGATCCCATCTGTTACCTCCTTATTTTTTTCCAACGTCACTACTGTAAAGTTGTAGGAGTCTGACTATAGAGAGCAGCTTTCACTCCCTCACTTGTCACTCACAATTCTTCAGATTATGTGATTGTAACAGTTTGCCTTTTTCTAATTACTGACTAATAACTTCACTAACTAATGACTTCATTTTATTCAACCTAAATATAAGTTGCACTTGACCAGCAAGTAATGTTTTATAAAAACTTACTCAAACTTCAAATAAAACCATAATTGTTTTTCAGATAAAATGCAATGTTCAAAAACAATAAGTGCTATTAGTTCTAGACGGGTAGATTTTGTAGTAGAGCACTAGGATTCCATTCAGAAGGAGTTGGGGTTCGGAATTACAACCTTTCAACCTTTCTCCCATTCAAATTAATAGGTGCCATTTTTAAACAACAACAACAAAATTACATTTGTATGGCGCCTTTCACGTTAGGAGGATGTCCCAAGGCGCTGGACCATCAATGTTTCAGACCCGAGCTGGGGTTTGGGATCGGGGAGGATGGAGGGCAAGAGGGGAAGGAGGGTGACCGAAGGCATGGTTGAAGGTGAGAGTCTTGAGACGGGTCTTGAAGAAGGCAAGGGAGGGGAGGCGGAGGGATTGCGGAATAGAGTTTCAGAGAGTAGGGGCAAGTGATTTGGGGGAAATGAAGCAGGCCGGAGCCCACTGAGCGGACGGAGCGGTGGGGGTGGGGGCTGATAAGGTGTTAGGAGGTTGCAGAGGTAGGGGGGAGCAAGGCCATGGAGAGCTTTGAAGGTGAATATCACTACTTCTACGCAGTGCTACTGTGGTGAGCATGCCATGGGAGCAGAGCTCTGTTTACTGAGAACACCTATGACCTTCCTCAGTATGCAGGTCTGTCAGCTGTCACGCATTGGATTGCAGTGGTCACAAACAATTCCACAGTCCGACCTCTACTGCCAGTGGACATGAGATAGCAGCGAAGAAGGGCAGTGCTTTCATGTGAAAATAATCTGAATAATAATGTAGTTGGCAGAGACAGCTTTGAGCTACTCTTAAACCTGCTTCTTATTCAGAAAAATCAGGAATGGATGACAATTACCACCCATCCAAAAAAGAGTGAGACACCATTGAGCATGGCAAACCGGTGCTTATTCTGCACAAATATTATCCAATGGCTTGCCATGTATTTCTCCCAGATCTCATCACCAAACAATGAGTTTTTTTTCGTCAGCTGGATGTCAGAAACCCATCATCACACTTAAAAGTATCCAGAGTTCCAATGAGTGAAAATCAGAAAGGCCACCAAAATAGAGACTAGCTATTCATTGTAAAATCCCCTTCAAGCTACTGAGTAATGAATGGTTTCTTCTGTTTTCGAAACACGCACCCATTTGCCCTCATTCCACATCTGCAAAAGTGTTCTGTGAATGTTTTAATATTGACTATTACCAACTGAAATCAGATAACTCTGCACAGACCAGGGATTACACCTGGACTTTCTTGCTCTGTGTCCACATGTGGCGCATTATGGGCCAAGTCATTGAGTGAGCTTCATTTTTGATGCCTCAAAAGGATTGTAAAATCTATCTTTTTACCACATGGCACTTGCTTGATTTAAGTGACATCTCCTTCTGCTGCATTCTGATGACTACTTTGCTTCAGTGAATAAATGTCTGACAGAATCACTGCTGGAATTTAATCTGCAGTCGATATCTGCTTCACTTATTAGATTTGTTGGACATATTTGTCCCTAAAATTTGGGCATGTGCATTGTCACTAATTTACCGGTCATTTGTGAAGTTGGCCGCCCATTATCTTACGTGAAAGTAAACATACAAGTAAGTTTAAAATGCCATTCATGTTATCTGGACTATGTGTTTGTTAATCACATCCAGCTAGCATTAAACACGGCTGATACCTAGTGAGAACGGTGAATATTCACACTTTTTAATCAGTTCGAGGAACAAACAAATGTCATTTAAGAATCATTTGTCAGGGGATTTTGAAAATCGCACTAACCTGTATGTATTCGCAGGTGGACTTTCAGATGATGAGATGTTCTGAAAGATTTCCCACAGTAAGGGCAATCCCTGATGGTTGATCCAGGCATTCGATCTCTCAATAAAGAAGGCTGCTGTATTCCTGCAGACCTTCCCACTTCCTCTCCTACATCTACAATGCATACAAATTATCACCATCATTACAACAGACGCCAAAAGTTTCTCCACTGATTTTGCTAACACAACACAACACAAACACAAACTTGTCAATAGTGTATCTTCTCTGTTTCACGACGGAAGCTGACAGAATGCTGACAATTCACATGTTTTCTTATTTTTTGCAAAAAATCTTTAGTCTCTCCCATCATCATCTCTTAGCAGCAGATGGCATATTTCATTTAAATGAATAATACAAAAAAGGAAACAGCTGTATCAGCAGCATGCCTGATTCAGTGTATTATTCAAGCTTAATGTGCAACTGCACTGGGAACCTGTACTGCGTGTTGCTTAGAGCAAAATGTGAAAGTAATAGAACCGTTGCTAAATTGTCATTCTATTGGAAGCAATATTAAGTGTTTTCTTTGCCCCTTAAAAGCTTCCTTGTTATTGTACATTTGTTTTTGTTTGCATTCAATATTTCCAAAAAAATATTGCAACATAATGGAAAGTGACAAGTAGTTTGCTTGTTTGAGTTCCTCAACACTTTTGACAATTTCAGACCTCAAATGGAAATATAATGACAGTGAAAGTTGCTAACACCAGGTGCAGTAAGTAACTGAACGAACAATGCCTGAAAGTCACAGGGATTTTTCCAGTCAATTACGGGGTGCCTGAAAACGATTATATTAAATGCAAATCGCCTATTATCACTGGTGTCTTCAGTTCTCAGAAACTTTCTGATGCAGTATCTATAGGATCATAGTGGATATTCCAGTGCCCGGCCGGCCAGTTTACCAAAAATATTTCGGGCAACGTGATTAACTCTTGACAATGTTCATCTGCAAAATACACTGTTAGAAGTCATAGACAATATAGGGAAATGGCTTCTGACTGCTCCAATAGACACTGCACCCACAAACTTAGGGATGGATTCAGAAATGTATCTGTGATGATTTTAAGAGTAAGTTAGTAACCACTAGCAATGCTGAAATTTGCCTGTGAATCAATCCCGGAAATTGTTCTGCATTCTTCTAGGTTGTGGAATGGCTACGCTTCGTATATTTCTGTGAATTGATAATTGTTTTTAAAAAAATACGATTTACATTGAATTTTGCTATGGTGCAAGGGGCCAGGGGTGGGGGGAATCACTGCAAAATAGCTATAGGAAAAGTTATCTTGCATTTCCAGGATTGCGAGTGTGATAAATGGAAGCGTCAAGTCATGCAGCAGAGGGTGCTATTCTGAGCCTAGGAAGAAGGCAGCAGAAATGTCACCCATCACTGCTGCCTCAACGTTTTCTTGTTTATAAAGCCCGTCGACCCAGTCATCTGAGATCTTTGGGTGCATGGGACACTTCAAACCCTTTTTGAACACTTGTTACCTTTTCGATACTTCCTTCACCCTGATTCCTGGGAATGTAGTGTTCCAGTGTTTGTTCCCTTTACTAAGGGAATTATAGGGGTATTTGATAGGAGTAACCTAAATTCCCTGCTGCAAGTATACTTGTGTTTTTTTTAAAAAGATTTTTGATGGGAGAGACAGAAACACAAAATCCACGCAAGGGCAGGGATCATAGTGGATATTCCAGTGCCCGGGAGTTCCCAATCTCAATCTGTGCCAGCTCCAGAGGAGGTGATTTGCTTTCTATACAATATATGGGAAAATCAATGTAGAAAGCTGACTTACTCTGTTCATGAGCGCTCCCTGCTTACCAGTTTCAAACAAGGTACAACCCATGAATACGTGACAGCTGCCCTTTCGGTCAGAGCCTATGCCACAGGAGAATAATTATGACAGGAGAGGTATGGAAGAAGATAGCTTTTTGGCCCACTGGATCTCATCATTTCAGAATGCCCAATTTAATGCTACTACTAATAATATTTTTGCATTTGTTATAGTGCCTTATCATATTGTTGAGATGTCTCAAAGCGCTTCACAAGATACTTACACATATTTGGAACTTGAGGGATCCCAGTAAACTGTGTATTGAAATAATAATAATAATAATAATAATAATCCTTGCATTTGATATAGCACTTTTCACGACGGGAGGACGTCCCAAAGCGCTTCACAGAACACACTGTAAAGTGAATTGACTGTATATTTGTGGGCGAACGCGGCAGCCAATTGCGCACAGCAATGTCCCACAAACAGTCGTAGATTGAAAATGACCAATTTATTATTGTTTTTAGTTTTGGAGGGATTATTATTAGGCTCTGTGTGGAGTAAGGAAACTTGCCCAAGGTTTCGCCCTGCCTGGAATTGAACTCAGGTCTCTCGCTTGCAAAGCGAGTGCTCTAACCACTGAGCTACAGGACTCCAGTACCTCCAGTAGTAATATGACTTGGTTATAAAACCATAACTAGTTCTAAACTAGCAACTGTAGAAAACTGACTCAATGCTTTGCTCCTGGGGTAAACCTGAAGTCCCACTATCGTTGCCATGTGGTTATCTCTTATCAGCTACACCCAGAGGCAGCATTGGCTGGTAAGCTCAAAGTGTAACAGTGGAGATGAGAATCCAGTTGAAGGGAAGAGGAATTCAGTATAATGGAAATGAAAGCTGGTAGCCAGCAACTGGAAATTGCCAAAATTATCTTACTTAAGCCAAATGTGGCAGCCTCACTGCCACTCAAAGCAACCAACTTAAACTCACAACCCAATTGAACGAGGGATATTATTGGCTACATTTTTGCTCCTAAAAAAGTCACTACACTTAAAAATAATTAATATCAAAGGCCTTTGATATGTTTTGATGCATAATATGCTATAAAAATACAAGTTCCTTCTGAGCTACAGGACTCCAGTGCCTTTGCCTTGCCTCCTCCCTTTCCTCCTGCAAGGCCGGTCTCAAGACCTTTCTCTTTGACCGTGCCTTCAGCTCCCCTCTCGACTCTCTACCCCCTCCTTGCCCCCTCCCTTCTCTCCCCTCACCCTGACCATTTCCCCCCTGCTCGGGTCCTGACCCAACTGTACAGCGCCTTGGGACGTCCTCCTGACGTGAAAGGCGCTCTATAAATGGAATCTTGTTGTTGTTGCTGAATCATATGGTTCAGTTCCACACAAGGGAGTCCACTTTCTAAGCTATCAGGGGAGCTGGGGAGAGAACATTAAATGCAGTTTTCCCAGTTTAAGGGACACGTCAGGTGCGTTAGCAATGTCTGGACCACATCACTCCCACCCTCGCTCGCCTCCACTGGCTCCCCATCCCCCAGAGGATTGATTTCAAGATCCTCATCCTCACCTACAAGGCCATTCACGGCCTTGCTCCCTCCTACCTCTCCAACCTACTATCCCCCTACCTACCTGCCCGTACCCTCCGTTCCTCCGGCTCCGGTCTGCTCCACGTCCCCCGCCCCAATCGCCCTACCATTGGTGGTCGGGCCTTCAGCCTCTCAGCCCCGAGGCTCTGGAACTCTATCCCCCAGTGCCTTCGCCTTGCTTCCTCCCTTTTCTCCTTCAAGGCCGGTCTCAAAACCTTTCTCTTTGACCGTGCCTTCAGCTCCCCTCTCGACTCTCTTCCCCCTTCTCGCTCCCTCCCATCCCTCCCCTCACCCTGACCATTTCCCCCCTCCTCGCTCCCTCCCCTCACCCTGACCATTTCCCCCCTGCTCGGGTCATGACCCAACTGTGCAGCACCTTGGGACGTCCTCCTGACATGAAAGGCGCTTTATAAATGGAATCTTGTTGTTGTTGTTGTTGTTGTCTGATGGTGCATGACAAGTAGGTGCAGAAACTGTTTCTAATCAAACCATGATAGGACAAGTTTAAACAATATGTTGCACCTTACAGCTTAGCACAATTTTCCCGTTACATTACTGCACACCAGCAGAATGCCACCATCCCACCCTTGCTCTTAAACTGGAGAAGCAGTAACATGTTTTCTGTCACCGGTTCTCAGCAGTCGATGCTTCCAGTTTAAATATAGCTGCTCATTTTGTGCGTGTTTTTTTTTTAAAAAAACATGGCACAGTTCAGAAGCAGTGACACAACATGATCTGGTGAGGTGGCAGGTTTAAAATTCCATCAAAGGCTAGGTGAAATATGTTAACTTGCCAACCCTGCCTCTGTGGCCCTTATACCCCTGTCTGCCCAGCACAGGCAGCGCCAAGGGTCCAGGGCGTACCACTCCAGCTGAAGAATTGCTAATTTGCTTCAGATGTCTGAAATGGTCCCTTTGTTCAAAGGCGAAGATGTCATGGGCTGTATATAGAACGGGTTTGGGGGGGTGGGGGGAGGTGGGGGGAGACAGAAAAACGACTTAAGAAATAAAACTGTTAATCTCTTCTAGCAATTCCTTTTCTTAACATGACCTGTTACTATTTTTGCCTTGTAATGTTTTTTTTCAATGCACATTACATACAATCAGCCTACAGTCAAGCAGTAATAGTATCCCCTTTGTTTTATTTTACGAGCCTAAAAGGTGCCATCTAAAACAGCTCGCAGTTTCTTCTCATCTATTAGCTGGCAAAAAAAATAAATTTCCCTGATGAACAGTGAGATGGGTCACGTCTTTATCTACAGCCAGCTGGCAGATCCAGCCTTTTAATATGGCTGTTCCAATTATTGTAAATGTCATTTTGTACCTTATAACTACAAATATTGACAGTTTATTGCACAATGCGCGTTTGTCAGATGAAGGTCACATCCTACACAATGCACCATCTTTTCTTAAAGTACATCTGACTGAAAAACTAAAAGACACAATGTTTAATGGCGTTGTGTGATATTTAAGGCATCAATTTCAATCCCTGTTTTAAAAGAATAACAAAATGCGTAATTTCACATTTAAACTGAAGGGAGGGAGGGTAGGGGGGTTGGGGTGGGAATCAATTTTTAACTAGTGGTCTTTACATTCACAATCGCACCATTATTTTCAAAAGAATTGTTACAGCAGACGAGAACCAAATTAAAATGCACTCAAGTGGAAGTCACAACTTGTATTTTTGTTGTGAAGACACGATCATATCCATATGGATTGCCTGGCAACGCAAAGACTGGCTGGGATTTTATT